GTGATTGTAAGTCGAGTAGGTCATAAGTCGGGGATGAGGTGTGTGTGTGTGTGTGTGTGTGTTTGTGTAGACACACTTAAGAATTGGAAAATCCTCTCACAAAAAAAAAAAATTATTAAAAATGTGAGTCTACCCTCAAGTCCGTACGCTATTACAGTACTTTATTAATATAGCACGGACTTGAAGGTAAACTGTCACATTTATAATAATTTTTTTCTTTGTGAGAGGATTTTCCAATTAGTATTTATTTGTACCGTGGTCCCTCGGTTAACGAGCACAATCTGTTCCAGCAGGTTGCTCGTTAACCGAAACCATTGTTTCTATGGGTTTTTGGGTAATTGGTTCCAGCTCACCGAAAATTGCCTAAATTCAACAAAAATAGTAGAAAAGTTCACTTACTTTGAGGTGTGTATGTAGAAGGCTCCTGGATGATGATGATGATGATGATGATGATGATGTGAATTTGAAGTGGGAGGTTGAGGAGGAGAAGGCAGAAGAGAAGGAAGTGGAGGTGGAGGAGAAGCATTTTACTGCTTCTTGAAAGGTGAGTCACCTTCCATGAAAATGTCAGGAACCTCTGGACTGACAGATTCTCCACCATGAACATCCTCTCTCCTTCTTGAAGTGGAAGGCTGAGGGATAGCATCTTGTTCCCTCTGCCTTTTACTGAAGAAAGTGTCAATTGTGGTCTGTGGGGCATCTGTCCTCCTCACCATTAACTTATGTTTAAAGAAGGAGGCCACTGAGTCCTCAACATGACACAAAGTTAGTTCAGTTTTTTCCACTTCTGGGTGCTTTGAAGCCACTTCCCTGAAATTCTCCTAGTAGTAAATCACATCTTTCAACTGTTTAGCTGACATATGGTCATCACTTTCAATTTCCTCCTCACCACTGTCAGCCTTTACCTGTAACATCTCATCCAGTTGCTTCAAGTCATCAGGAGTAAGTTCCTCCTCATGAGACATCACAAGCTCTTCCACATCCTCCTCCTCCACTTCAAGGCCCAATGACTGACCAATGGACACAATCTCCTGGTCCAACTCTGTTTCTTCCTCAAATCCCTCAAAATCATGGACTACTGATGGCCACAGTGCTTTCCATGAAGAATTGAGGGATCTAGTGGAGACTTCTTGCCATGATGACACAATCAATTTTACAGCCTCCTGGATGTTGAATTGTGTCATCCAGAAATGTTTCAGTGTTAGTTCAGGATCATTGGAAGTTGCCTGATGACACCTCCTAAACATTTTCTTCATGTACAACTTCTTGAAGTTGCTGATCACATTCTGGTCCATTGGCTGTATGATTGATGTAGTGTTTGGAGGCAAAAACAACACTTTCACAAAGTCAAATTGAAACTCCAAATTTCTGGCAAGGTCAGGGTCATGACCAGGAGCATTATCTATGAGGAGAAGAGCCTTTAAAGGGAGTTTATTGGTGGTTAGGTAGCTCTTGACAGAAGGGCAAAACACATCAACAGCCCATTCATTAAAGAGCTGTCTTGTCACCCATGCCTTACGGTTGGACTTCCAATAAACTCCAAGCTTTGTTCTTACCACTTTCTGTTGCTTGAACACCCTGGGGTTTTCAGAGTGGTAGACAAGCATAGGCTTCAGTCGGAAATCCCCTGAAGCATTGGCACCAAGCAATAGAGTGAGACGGTCTTTCATGGGTTTATGCCCAGGTAAAGAGGCTTCATCTCTGGAGATGAATGTTCTTTTGGGCATCTTTTTCCAGAACAGCCCAGTTTCGTCCACATTGAACACTTGCTGTGGAAGATAAATTTCTTCTTCCATCAGTTTTTTAAATTCCTCTAAAAACTTTGCTGCCCCTTCCTTATCAGCACTAGCAGCTTCACCATGCCTAACATCACTGAAAATGACACTTCTTTTCTTAAATTTTTCGAACCAGCCTTTGCTGGCCCAAAAATCTTCAAATTCTGTGCCTGAAGAACCAGGTTGATCTGTCTTTAAATGTTCGTAAATCCCCCTGGCTCTTTCACAAATGAATTCAATAGAAACTGAATCACCTTTCATCTGTTTTTCACTAATCCAGATGATAAGTAACCTCTCAGTTTCTGCAATTAGGGATCTACTTTTAAACACTCTTGTAGATTTGTCTCTCACTTTCACTTCTTTAAATTTGTCTTTCTGTGCAAGAATTGTCAACACAGTTGATGTCGACATGCCATATTCTTTGCATAGCACATTTGTTCTAATGCCTTGTTCATGTTTTTTTATGATTTCCTGCTTGGTTTGGATTGAAATCGCTTTTCTTGATCTCTTAGGCCCCATGCTGGATTCAAACAATGTCAACACGTGTTTTTCAAAGTTAAACTTGTTGTAAATAAAGAATATTTTCTTTAAAATAACACTGCACTGCACTATATATTGTCAATATGTAAAATCAATTTCAAAATGACCAATAATTTGCTTGGAAACAGAGAAAAAAACCATTTAGTTGAAGAGTCTCAGGCAAGATGTTACCTCCAGTGAAAACAGAGAGAGACTAACGCCTGTTTGCTGTGTTAAGTGGCTGGATGCCACGCATTAAACTACCGTATATCTCGGCTTATAAGACGGAATTTGAACATTAAAAAAATCTGCCCAAAGTTAGGGGGTCGTCTTAATCACCATGTATAAAATTCTTACCTCTTAAATATTGTGGTTTAGTGTGTCAAGAGTGGTGATGGAAACATCGTAAGCCACTCACAAGGTCCTACCACTAATTATTTTATACCGAAACTTACGTTTGGCAAGCTGGATTCAAATTAAGATTACCGGTACAGTATTACCCCGCTTAACGCGCTTTCACTTAACGCGTTTTCGCATATACGCGGTGCCTTGCCAAAGCTGAACTTTCACTTAACGCGGATTTTTCCACAGCAACGCGGTGAGTGTCGGGCTCGAGAGCTATTTTTAGATTCGCACCACCCCCCACCCGCCACCCTGCCTGACTGCCTGTTTTAGCTCATAAAATTCATACAAATTACCCAGCCAGAATATAGTTTACATTGCTGGAATTCTTATAATTTGGTGATCATTTTGAATATAAACAACATATTTTTTGCATTAAACATACAATTTTTAGATAAAATGTTTAATCTGAGTAAGTATGTTATCTTTTGTCCAAAATATATGACATTTATATTCAAAATATTCCTGGTCTTACAAGGAATCCAGCAATGTCAATTATATTATCCTAACTTTAGTTTGAGGTATTATTTATTAAAATTTAGTGGTTATCCCACACATCTCCTTGGGACAGTTGGTGGGGGGTGGGGGGGAGGGAGGGACCAACCGACCGACCATCTGTTACCCGGTGAAGAATTATTTTTTTTTAACTGAAGATATTTGTTTTAGCTCATAAAATTCATACAAATTACCCGGTCAGAATATAATTTACATTGCTGGAATTCCTATAATTTGGTGATCATTTTGAATATAAACAACATATTTTTTGCATTAAACATAAAATTTTTAGATAAAATGTTTAATCTGAGTAAGTATGTTATCTTTTGTGCAAAATATATGACGTTTATATTCAAAATATTCCTGGTCTTACAAGGAATCCAGCAATGTCAATTATATTATCCCAATTTTAATCTGAGGTATTATTTAATACAAAATGTTAAAATCTAAATTTTTCACCCAACATCTCTTGAAGGGAGGATTGGTGGGGGGTGGGGGGGAGGGTTGGGACTGACCGCGCGGTTGGAAGAGGGGGGAGGCAAGGTGGGGTACTTTGATTGACAGATAGTGTCGTGAAGAATATTTTTTATTTTTTTTATTAACTGAAGATATTTGTTTTAGCTCATAAAATTCATACAAATTACCCGGCCAGAATATAATATACATTGCTGGAATTCTTACAATTTGGTGATCATTTTGAATATAAACATCATATATTTTGCATTAGACATAAAATTTTTAGATAAAATGTTTAATCTGAGTAAGTATGTTATCTTTTGTGAAAAATATATGACATTTATATTCAAAATATTCCTGGTCTTACAAGGAATCCAGCAATGTCAATTATATTATCCTAACTTTAGTTTGAGGTATTATTTATTACTATACCTGGTTTTCCCCCAAAAATTTCTCAGAGAGGGAAGAGCCGGCAGTGTAGTGAGAGAGGGGGAGGGAGTCGTGTCCATTATTTGAATGGACATTAACTTGGCGACTGTATTTCTCTATTTCTCTTAAGTATTAATTGTGTGCATGTACCATCATAAAATTAAGATGTTATTTTTACTACAACATAGTTATGTGTCGTCAAAAAGTGGAGTTTGGGGATCGGCCTGGACTCCATTTCAATTAATCCTATATGTTATGTTATTCACTTTACGCGTTTCTCGCTTTCCGCGGTACCCTCCGGGTTACATTAACCGCGTAAAGTGAGAGTTAACTATATTAATATATATATATATATATATATATATATATATATATATATATATATATATATATATATATATATATATATATATATATATATATATATATATATATATATATATATATATATATATATATATATATATATATATGCTCTTTCTATATATATATATATATATATATATATATATATATATATATATATATATATATATATATATATATATATATATATATATATATATATATATATACAGTAGAAGTCCATAAAGCCGGACTGCTTGGGGATTGGGTCGGTCCGGATTTTCGGATTTTCCGGATTCTCAGGCAGTACTTTTAAAATTCAAATTTAAGGAGGAATAAAGAAGAGATGAACAGGTACATTTTGATAGTTTATTCATTAGCAAATACAGCATGCTTCATTTTTCAAAACGAGCAGTTTTAAAGAAAAATAAAGTCAACACCTGACAAAAATGTAAACAAACATTTTTCACTGCAGTAAACAAATGAAAGCAGAATTTATTTTATACAAATAGATTATTTATTTGTAGTTTATTAACGAAACATTTTCCTATAAATACAAAGTACAAAACAAATAAATATTTATTCGTTGATTTCCACGACTTCTATATCGTCTGCTGCACTGCTTGTGGATGGAACACTTGCAGCTTCTACTGCACTGCTTGACACTGCTTTCTTTAAATACTTTCGTATATCACCTTGTTTACGACTTTGTAAATTCTTTGTGATAAGATTATTCTGCACCATGTGTGCCTGCATGACGTCTTGAAGACTGAAGCTATGATTCTGTTCCACAAATTTAATAACTGTTTCAATGCCCTTTTCTGCAGCAGCCCAAGATATCTTTTCTTCAACTTTGTCGTCGTCTTCACCAGATTCTTCTGAACAATTTTCTTCTATCTTCTCAGGAGTTGTAATGCTTTGAATGATTTCTTGATCAGTGAAAGTGGCAGCAACTTCAATATCATCGTCAATGTGTATCCACTCTTCTATGTCAGCAGCATTAAGCTTGCGTAGAGGGTTGTCTTCCAGAGATAATTTAACAGTCTCCATCAGTTCTTGCACTTCAGATGCCCTCTGCTTTATGTGGAATCCTTCAAAATCTTTGTCTTGACCACACACTAGAGCTGCAAACATCACTTTCGGCCACAACTTTCGCCACGCTCTTAAAAGTGTTTCACTCGTGACTGCATTCCAGGCAGTCGCGAGTGAAAATATTGCATCCTTGATCGTAAAACTGTGTTGAAATTCTGTAGGGTTGACATTCTTATTCATCATTTTTGCCATAAAATCATTTTTAGGGTGACATTTAAAGTTCCTAATGACTCCTTGATCCATGGGTTGAATCAATGATGTTACGTTTGGTGGCAAGTAACATGCATAAATATTCCCGCAATCAGACACTAATTTTGATTCATGCGGGTGGACCCTACAGTTGTCGAGAAGTAGCAGGCACTTTGTATTTGCAGGCTTCCCCAATTTCCTTAAGTTCTGACGAACTGATGGAACAAAATCATGAACAAACCAATCGCGAAATATGTCTTTGTCCATCCAAGCACTCTTTTGGGCTTTATAGGTCACAGGCAAGTGCACAATTCGCTGAGCCGTTAAATTGCCAATCACCAGCTTAATTTTATGCTGACCTGAAGCATTAGCACATACAAACGTTAATCTTTCGTGTCGCTTAAAACCTGTTGCATTTGGATTCTTGGTTTCAACCAAAGTTTTGTGAGCAAACACTTCCAGTAAACCCCTGTTTCATCAACATTATAAATTTTGATCGACTGTGAGATCATAGTCATTTAATTTTTCAAATGTTGCACTATATTTTATTTACTGCTTGTGTATCAGCCGACTGTCTTTCTCCATAATATCTAACTAATCTAATACCATGACGAGTCTTGAAATTCCCTAAGCCATCCATCACTAAATGCGCACTCTGATTCAATGTTCATTTGCTCCTTAAAAGATTTTGCTATGGCAATAAGCATCGGCCCAGAAATTGCCATACCTTCTGATCGTTTTAACAGAAACCATTCGTGCAACACTTTATCAAGATTTTCTAATTTGGGCCGATGTAAACTTTTTCTTTCAGCAATTTTATTGTAAGTCTCAGAAGAAGCTGTGAATTCTAGAATTTTATTCTATGCCTTTATTATATCATAAATTGTAGACTTTCCAATGTCGTATGTTTCCATTAGAACAGCATTGCTCACACCACGTTCTAGTTTCTTAATTATTTCAAGTTTGTCACTCAATTTCAATGTGTTCTTCTTTCTCTTCACACAACGAAGTTTATCTACTTTAGGAGCCATTATTATGGGCTTGTACTCTGTAAATGGAAAGAGTAGGACTCAAAGTTACATACGTTGTCACAGTTTGATCGCTTGTTTTAAAGTGGCGACCGCGTGGTCACTTGTTGTCGCTGTGCAGCTGTGGCGTTCACGCATGCGCACATACACACAAAAGATTTATAGTGCCTCAAATTTTACATTTCAGGACAAGCTAATTACAAAACTAACAAAATTAGCTACCTATAATTTACAATTACTTTTATTATTAGAATTATGTAAATTAATTTTTTTAAAACAACTCCATTCATTCACGTAACCCACAAAAGCCCGCTAAATTTAAAAAGTTTGAGGGTTTTCGAAAAGTCCGGATTCTCGGGTGGTCCGGATTTCTGGCATCCGGATTTTTTGGACTTTTACTGTAGTGTATATATATATATATATATATATATATATATATATATATATATATATATATATTTTTTTTTTTATTAACTGAAGATTTTTATTTTACCTCATAAAATTCATACAAATTACCCGGCCAGAATATAATTTACATTGCTGGAATTCTTACAATTTGGTGATCATTTTGAATATAAACATCATATATTTTGCATTAGACATAACATTTTTAGATAAAATGTTTAATCTGAGTAAGTATGTTATCTTTGTGCAAAATATATGACATTTATATTCAAAATATTCCTGGTCTTACAAGGAATCCAGCAATGTCAATTATATTATCCTAACTTTAATCTGAGGTATTATTTAATCCAAAATGTTAAAATTTATTTTTTTCACCCACTCTTTCTCTTGGTGGGGGGTGGGGGGGGGAGGGTTGGGACTGACCGCGCGGTTGGAGGAGGGGGGAGGCTAGGTGGGGTACTTTGATTGACAGATAGTGTCGTGAAGAATATTTTTTTTTTATTAACTGAAGATATTTGTTTTAGCTCATAAAATTCATACAAATTACCCGGCCAGAATATAATTTACATTGCTGGAATTCTTACAATTTGGTGATCATTTTGAATATAAACATATATTTTGCATTAGACATACAAATTTTAGATAAAATGTTTTTTCTGAGTAAATATGTTATCTTTTG